GGGTAACACTTAGCCCTCACCTTACGACAACAATTAGGACTTGAATTTCTGTTGCTAAAAAAAAAATTATGTTGCTAAATATTGCAGAAATTGAGTCGTGCCCAATCTAAGGTCTTTTTCACTGTGGTCTTTAAGTGTATCACCATGGTCATTAGGTGAATCATGCAGTTGTTAAGCAAATCAGATTTCCCCCATTAACTTTGCTTGTCAGAAGTTGGGAAGGTCACAAATGGCAATCATGTAACCCCAGGACACCACAAGCATCATAACTACATGCCAGTTGCAAAGTACCCAAATTTTGTTCAAGTGACTTCCGGGTACATTGCAATAGTCATAAGAGTGTGGACGTCTCACAAGTCTTTTTTTTTTTAATGCTGTCATAATTTGAATGAGTGGTCATAAGTCAAGAATTAACTATGCATTTAATCGGGGTGGGGTGAGGTGGGGTTGGGGGTAAAGAAAAGGGAGATTGGTTCCCAGCCCTTTCATAGCTGGGTCTATTCAGGTCATCTGCAGGACATCGTATGTCTTAGTCTTGACATATTAGTCTACCTGACTGGTTTCAATATCTTCAAATAAATACCTGTAAGCAAAGTAGTAAAAGAACTGTAGACACAAACTTGCTTTCCCTTCATTTTTAGACGAGTTTGAGGCAATTCCTTGTGAACGCTATCACTACCCTGGTGCTTTGTAGCCACTTCTGAAGCTGACATTTTGTCACTTCTTTTCTAGCACTATCGTGTTACCTCTGTCCATATATAGGAAAAAACTGTATCTTGATTCCATCACGGAGTGGTTTTTCTAACCTTTTTGGTGCACAGTAGAGTCACGGCTTACTAGTTATGTAAGTTGATGTCTTTGAAGCCAATGGTTATAGCACTGAAGCATGGAATTAAGAAATTGTACAAAGCTGCTACTAAAGAGCTTGAGCCAAGTATGATGATGAGCCAATTTTAAATCTCTCCTTAAATCAAATTGTTGTGGCTCCATTCAGTCTTTCCATAAGAACGTGCTGTACAATGATTAATGTTTTGGCTTTTTCTGTACAACATAGTACTTGAATATGCCTAAATTACTTTGAGGCATTTGGCCTTTTTTATTTACTGACTATTAAAATTCTAGAAGATACTTGTGCCCACAGTATTTCGCTTACTAACTGTATCCAATGTATAAGTCTTTTGGAATTCTTCCTTGCTTGAATAGGTAGTTAAAACTGTTTCTGTACTGCTTCATCCTTTCTTTCTATACCACTTCTGGAATTTACTAATCTAAGAGTCCCTGCTATGTGAAAGCGGGAACAGATTTGATGTTCTCCAGATGTTTTAGTCCATACATCCACAGTCCTTTATCATTAACTTGGATGGCTGTAGCTGATGAGACATAAAGTATAAAAAAGGACTCTCCAAACTTGGCAACTTTAAGATTTGTGGACTTCAGCTCCTAGAATTCTCCAGCCAGCCAAGGAATACCCTTGGTATAAAACATCTAAAACACCAGCTAAATATGAGCAAGCAGTGTGCAGCAGCTGCCAAAAAAGTTAATGCAATCCTAAATTGTATTAACAGAGGGATATAGTCAAGATCAAGGGAAGTACTAATACCACTCTATAAAGCCTTAGTAAGACCACACCTAGAGTACTGCATCCAGTTTTTTTCACCACATTATAAAAAAGATGTTGAGACTCTAGAAATAGTACAGAGAAGAGCAACCAGGATGATTAGGGGACTGGAGGCTAAAACATACAACGAACGGTTGCAGGAACTGGGCTTGGCTAGTCTAGTAAAGAAAAGGACCAGGGGAGACATGATAGCGGTCTTCCAATATTTGAAAGGCTGCCACAGAGAGGAGGGGGTCAAGCTATTTTCTAAAGCTCCTATAGGCCAGGAATAATGGATGGAACCTGAACAAGGAGAGATTTAACCTGGAAACAAGGAGAAACTTTCTGACAGTAAGAACAATCAACCAATGGAACAGCTTGCCCTCGGAAGTTGTGGGAGCACCATCACTTGAGACTTTCAAGGAGAGATTGGACTGCCATTTGTCAGAAATGGTGTAGGGTCTCCCGCTTGGGCGGGGGGTTGGACTAGATGACCTACAAGGTCCCTTCCAACTCTGATTATCTGTAATCTGTAAATACGTAATTTTTCTTTCTAGCTTCTTTCTTTAGAAGTTATAATATAATAATATATTAGGAAGAGATAAGATGCTTGGGTCAGATTTCAGAACTGACTATATATACAATAAATGATAGCAGCTATATTCTGCTTTCATATTAACACAGAGAATTGTGGTTGAACCAGCAATCAGTTGCTGGTTTATTTGGTTCTCCCTCAAATCACTGTATAACCAAGAGTAGCAAATACTAGTATCAAATGATGTGGTGTGTGAACCATCCTAGAAGGAAGGATAAAATGTCCTGGATAAGGCTGAAGCTAACAAAAGTTGGAAGCAAGAGCCTGAGATAAGATAGGATTACTATAAGATTACAGGTATCTTTAACACTTTAACACTCAAAGCTTTAACATCTAGAGATGCTCCTAACTCCATCTATAAAATAACTTTTCAGTTAGTGTCTTTTCACTGTTTTCAAATTGGAACTATTAAAATATCAGGCCATACACTCTTTTGCAATATAAACATTTTATTCAGTCTATGTCTATGAAGATCATATTAGTTTAAAAACTTGACTGATTTAACTAAACATTTCTCATTTTATTGAAGTACGTGTCTAGCTCTATTGTATATATAGCATACCTCTTAAACTTTTAACCATCTATCTCAGTGGTGGAATTCAATTTTTTTTACTAGCGATTCTGTGGGCATGGCATGGCGGGCGTGGCAGGGGAAGGATACTGTAAAATCTCCATTCCCACCCCACTCCTGAGGGAAGGCTACTGCAAAATCCCATTCCCTCCCCACCCCACTAACCTGCTCTCCAGCTCCATTCTCCTGTGCAGGGCTACAAAAGAAGACCCAATCAATTAGCTGGGGCTCGGGAGGCAGAGAATAGATGGGGGCGGGGCCAGTCAGAGGTGGTATTTGCCAGTTCTCCGACTTAATCAAAATTTCCACTACCGGTTCTCCAGAACTGGTCAGAACCTGCTGAATACCACCTCTGATCTATCTGTATATTTGAATACATGATCACACATAATAAATAGCGGCTCGCAGGCTGGATGCATCACGTATATGCCATGCCCACCCCAGCTCTGCAATTGGGAAAAACGTCCCAAAACCTCATGTGATGGCAATGTGACACTGTGATTTTGACACCCATACTTTATATGAAAGTAACTCAGGCTAACATCAGCATTGCAAGAAAAGAGATCCAAATTAACCACAGTTCCTTGCCTTATGCCATATTCTAAAATCTTCTGTTTGCAAATGATTCATTAGATAGAACCAAAATGTGAATCTCTTTAACTGGAATGAAAAAAAGTGAGAAAAGAATACAGTTTTGAGCGACATTCCATTTATTTTTCTCCTCATCCAAGAGCTTCATTATCAGGAAAAACAGCATTGCTCAACATCCACATTATTTCAACAATGATTGTTCCCAGAGGAAATACTTCCAGGCATTTAAATTATATCTGTTGTATTACAATCAGATGCTATCAGTTCAGAAATAGGTCCACAAATGCTTGCAAAACAAAAATCAACAGCTATAAACAAGGATTTACTGGAAATCTACTTACCGAGCTACTCAGTCAAAAAATAAGTATTTGTGTGAGAACTTCAATCTGTCATAGATATGTAGAATTTAAAGATACAAGATCACTAATATTAGAGTTTGTATTTGGGTGTCTTATCCTTGGAGTGGAGAAGCTTCTGCCTTAGTGTTCTCTCTTGAAAAAGCACCTTTGGGACAACCATGACCTGGATGACTGAGAATATCCATAGACATAGTAGCCAAGTTATTTTCCCCTCCAGGTTTTCATATACCATACATAAACATAAAATAATTTCTGAACGTTTTTATTTAGGGAAATTCAGAAGCATCCAAGTGGCAAAAAATTTAATGGTAACTATGACCAAACAATCACAGCTCAATGTTCTTACGAAGTTCTTTTTACAAAGACAACATAGTCACCTGGTTATAACCACCATCTTGTTTTTTTCTTTTAATTCTCTCTGCAAAACCCCTGAACTAATTGTGACAAGATTAATAATGTTGCTTTATTAGCATTTTTCTTTTATGCTTACTGGATAAAGAACTTGAAAAAATGGAACTTGGTTGTTATATATGTTGACAGCAACAAAAATGCTTTATACACAAAAATGGAAATATATTTTAATTCCCACAATGGATGATTGGTTAGAAAATTTGATAGAATTAGCAAAGATACCACGTTTCCCTGAAAATACGACCTACCTACCCCCGAAATCAAGCTCTAGCCCGATTTTAATGCCTGTGCCTAATATAAGCCCCACCCACCATCTGGTTGTATGAGGTGGGGTATAAGAGGTGGGGTATAAGAATCAAGCTTGGGGGGGCGTGGAGCGGCTCCACATGCCACGTGCCAACTTACAGTAGAACCTGTCGTGCCACTGTCCAACTTCTTCTGAAGCCACTCGTGGCCACTCACACATGCAATGGCACAATGTGCCATGCAGCCTCCTGCCCTAAGTGGCAGCACCAGCGCAACAAGCCTGACAGTGCCCTGGTGCAAGTGACGGCACCGGTGTGTTGAGCCATGTGGCATCTGGTTGCAAGCTGCTACGAACAGCTGTAGAAGTCGGGCAGCAGTGCAACAGGTGTTGGGGCATGGGAGGTGTGGCTATGGTGGTCCTAATATAAGCGGGTAAGACATCCCACCAGTAAGCCCTGGTGTTTATTTTGGGACCGAAAATAAAACTGGGTCTTATGTTCAGGGAAACATGGTAGTTAAATTGCTGCTTTAATCAAAGAAAATAAAACATCCAACTTGGAAACTGCTTCTGGATTTTGTGCTTGAGGTGAAAAATATATATGAAATTTCGACTTTGGGTTTTGCTGATCAGATAGCTTTCTTGTTATAGAAATGGCTGGTATATATTATTATGTAAAAGTAAAACACTGATGCTGCAATGTTATTTTATTCTATTTTCCTTTCTCCTCTTCCCTTTTCTCTCTCCTCTTTGCCCTCTATTTTCATTTGTATTTTATATCCTGATAAACTTAATAAAAATTCAAAAAAATAATGTTGCTTTATTTATAGTTTTGAAACGGTTAAAAAATTCATTTTTCAGTTTTTTTTCCAAAACCAAGAATAATAAATAATCATTCCCCCCAAAACTAAATCATTTCCCCAATCTGCATTCCATTTCTTAGCTTATAAGAATATTCTTATATATTGTTCTTATACTGCTAGAATATATGCACAAAGGTTTGATAGCATATAGAAATCAAGAAACTCCAACAGCTATGGCCCTTATGGAAAGCAAAGTGGTTTACAATTTATCATATTGTTTGAAGAGAGAGGGAGAGGAAGAAGAGAAGAGAGGAAATTTTTCAGATTTGGGAGAGAAATATTACTAATTGTTAATCATGCTTGAATTGAATTAAAACTAAGGAGAAATTTCCTGACAGAACAATTTGTTCTGTGGAATTATTTGCTTCCAGAAGTTGTGGATGCTCCAACATTGGAATTTTAAAAAAAGAGAGATTGGACAACAATTTGTCTGAAATGGTATATAGGGTTTTCTGCTTGAGCTAGAAGACTTTCAATATTGTTCTTTTGAGAGTGAATAAAATAGAGAGAATAAAAAAAGTTTTCATATGGTGTGTGTGTGTGTGTGTGTGTGTGTGTATGTGTGTACACATGTATAAATATATTAATGTTTTCTGAAATCTACTTGGAAACCTCATGAAAAAAACTCATCAGCTGCCAAGGAGAAGGGGAAAAAAAGATTACAAACTTTTTCTATGTCAAGTTAAAAGCTTCTTTCTATGTCAAGTTAATTCTAGAACTTGCAACAAATTCCAAACATATCCAAAGATAGTGTTGCTATAATTTGGCTTAAAGAGAATGCCAGCTGGAATATTTTTCTGTGGAGAAAATATCAAGTAGTTTCAAGAAAGTTTAAGACTAAAAACACATCTCTGCTTCTTGGGAATCATTAGCCATTTGTTTCTAATTAGGAAATTCTAGACTGCCTAAAATTTACTGTTAATACAAAACTATTGTTGTGTATTAGTAGCTTAACCAAAATATTACTCAGTAATGGATTTGGAGAATTTGCTCCACAGGCTAATATTTTTTTTTTTTGAATAATACCTTGTATTCCTGCCATCCATTTTTTTCTACAATGGCCCTGTGAGGGAGACTGGCCTGAAAAAGAATGATTGTTGTAATAACTGTCTATAGAGATTCTGAATCATACAGGTCATAGTTGTTCCAAATGTGTTTTTTCAGAAGGCAACTGAATATTCTTAGTTTTTTCCCTTCTTCGGCTGTCTTGATGATTGTTTTGTTCAAAACCTGAAATTTTGGTCTCAGCTTATGACCATAGTTGAAACCAGAATCTTAGTTGTTGAACAAAACTATCATAGACCAAGACTGAAGAAGCTTCTTGGATGAGATGTGAAAGAAAAAAGAAAAAGCCAAAAAGGTCCAATTGCCTTTTGAAAAAGCACCTTTGGAACAATGATTTTTGTAATGTTATTAACAAAATGCATGAAATTTCTTAAGGTGCACTGAGCATTTCTCAATACTTCTCAATTCTTGGTTGTCTAGCAAACCCTTTCTGAAAGACAGTGATATTTCTAAGTTGGGATGGTTGCACAAGGTTTCAGTGGATAGATTTTGATCTTAGCTAAGACTAAACTATCCTTGCTGAATCCAACAGAAGCTTTAGAGTTATTTCAATTTTGCATATGTGGAGATAAAGAATTACTGCAACTACAATCAGCGATGTCTTCCAAATTGCTTTCTTGCCCACAATTTTTTTTTCTTTCGGTTGCGTCCAGTTCAAACTTTGAATGGTTAATCCTAATTCCTTGGAAGCTTCAAATCATCTACTCCCCTATTCTTCAATATTTGTAACTTTATCTTTTTCAGCAATGTGGGTAAATGTGGCAGGAATCCCAGGACAAAGCTTTGCTTTAAGGGCCCAAGAATAATGGTAGACCAGCAGTGTGCAATCCACAAGAAGTCTGCTCAGAAAAAAAAAAGTCCCATTCAGTTCCCGTAAATTGGAATAAATGTGGTTATTAAGTAATAAGCTCTATTGGAAACTCGCTGGATAAGCCAACTCTACTTGGCTTGTACTACACAGCTTCACTCCTTTCGAAATGACGGCAAGAAAAATCAGTTGAATGTAACTAGGCTTACTTTCAGATTGTTATATATTGGATGGTACAGTTACTACCTTTTTAAAACTAATAAACCATTTTAAATTTAAAGCCAATTTCAATGTCATTCACCAATGTAATCCCCCACAACCACAAGACAGCTGATATAGTTTGATGTTGATGCAGCAATATCATGCTATGGAGTTTGCAACTTCTCTTTGTATATGTTGCAGTTCACCGGCAGCAGGTACAGACAGCAGTGGTCTCTGACAGCGAATATGAAAGAGAACCTGTCAGGGAGCCTGGCGAGGACTTGGACAAGGGTCCTGTGTCTGATGCAGGGATGGGGCCAGGACTATTGGAGAGTGGGGTGCTGCCTTTGGAGCTTTTGGAGTCTGGCAGCAGTGAAGCAGAGGACCCAGGGGAGCCTATGCCCAGTGCGCGTGTGTGCAGGGCTGCTCAAAGGAGAGAGCAGCTGAAGCAACAAGGGCGACTCGGGTGTAAGGCTGGAAGGTGATTGCCCTTCCCATAAGGGATAAAAAACCAGCCTTCGGGGATGTACTCTTTGCAGGAAGCAAAGAAGTTCTTTAGATTCTGAGTCCTCATTGAAGCCCTGCGAACTCCAGTTTGTTTTTGAAACTTCAGTAATTAGACTTCTGTTCTTGGCAGCCTTTTACAACCTTGGAAGGACTTGCTTTTATCTCAGACAATTAGGTTTAAATGACTCTTGGCTGGGAATGCAAAGAATTCCCAGCGCCACATTAAAAAAGGTTTGCTTTTATACACAGTTTGTGTTAGTTTAATTTGAACAAGGCTTGGGTCAGAACAGTATAACTTCTCTTTCACTGCAATAAAGAGAAGAATAAGCTCTTGGTTGCAGCAGGTTGTCACAGCCAATTTGCCAGGTTCTTCAGTTCCTGAAATTATCTTACAAAAGTGCAGTTAAATATCACCACACGTTCTACCTACCTATTATAGAAGAATATTTAATTGCTATCTTACACAATTTTCCCAGTTTATCTTGGATTGTGAAAACATTACTGTTTTCAAGCCAGTTTGTCCATAATCAACAGAATCTTGAGATATTCTTTCATTTTTTTAAAAAGACTCTTTAACCAATATATGCATACTAAGCATACATTTATATTACAGCATATCGATTTACAGCATTTTGTTTAGTGATCATTCAAAGTTACAATGGCACTGAAAAAGGTGACATGACTTGTTTTCCACACTTATGACCATAGCATCATCTTCATGGTCACAAGATCAAAATTCAGATACTTGACAACTGACTCATATTTATGATGGTTGCAGTGTCTTGGGATCATGTGAACACCTTTTCCAACATTTGTTCTGACCCAAACCTTGTTCCAAGTAAACGAACACCAAACAGAGATACTTAGCAACAGAAATTTTGAGGTCAGTTGTGGTCTTAAGTCAAGGACTACCTGTAATTTTGCTTTAAAAACATTTAATTGCTTTTAAACCACCTGGACGATACTATGCTGCCAACCCTAGTCCATTTTAATGGAACCATGCTTTTGTGAATATAGCTTGGAAAAGTGTGCTTCAGCAGACTAAATGGGAATTTATTATAATCCATAGATGGTGTTAATTTATTTCCTATTTACATGATAGTTTCCCATACTATATAATACGTTGGATTGTTGATGATTAATAAATTGCTGGCTTCAATGTAATTTCTTATTTAAATTGGTCAGTTGAATTTTGCTTACTTTGGATTCCCAATTTGTTAATTTCCATAATTTCAAAATCTTAGTAGGAAACTTCCAGGGCTTATATTTCCATGCTGATTTGAACGTATTTCAGACTATTAAAATCTTTTCACCTCTAAAGCCAATTTCCATTTTTTTTTCCCCCTTGGCCCTTAAAAATCTCATCCACGGAAGTTTAACAGTATGGCTGGTTGCATTAATGAATCCATTTTTCAACTATTCAGTTGTTTATCATATGAAGTCATTCTGGAGTCATTCCTATGATACAGTCCCATTAAGGATTTTTGCATTTGCCTCGTGATAATCCCTTGTAAACACCTCTCAAGTGGTTTTAAAATCCTTTCACTTAATTTTACAAAATTAAATAGATTGCTTTATGCTAAATAAAATTAAATGCTTAGATTGCTCCATTGCCGAACTGGCTCTTTTAATCTTCTCTTTGCCTAGGGTTTGTATGTCTGGTTTTTTTTAAAAAAAATAATAGTTACTTTTTAAAGTGATTTTTATATTTCTTTTATGCTGGTCATTTTTTATATGTGATTTTATCCATTTCTTATGTGCTAGCCAGAGTTGCGTTTGCTGAGATGGGCAGCTATGTAAATTTCATAAATAAATAAAAGAATGAAGAACTGATGCAATGTGACAGCTTTTCCAAATCGCTTACATTATTAATGACTCTGTCTTTTGCTTCTGATGCACGCGATCACAACACTCTGTCTAAATGTGAGACAGACGGATGACAACTGTACTGGAATTTGGCATTCAGGTCTGAGAAATGTGAGAGACCCCCCCCCCCCAAAAAAAGAAAGGCAGGGTTCCATTGGGGTACTCTACAATATAGCTAAAATGAAAAGAATTCAAGCTGCTCTCTCTCTCCAGTTGTCGGTCAACATATAAACATTAAAAGACAGTCTGTACATACATGCCCATTGCTGTATTCCCTTTCAGGGTAAGCAGTGCTAAGCAGAATACAGAAAAGGAGTAAGAACAGATAATCAGAGTTGGAAAACTTTGTAAGTCATCTATTCTAGTCCAACCCCCCGCCCTACACCATTTCTGACAAATGGCAGTCCAATCTCTTCTTGAAAGTCTCAAGTGATGAAGCTCCCACAACTTCCAAGAGCAAGCTGTTCCATTGGTTGATTGTTCTCACTGTCAGAAAGTTTCTTCTTATTTCCAGGTTAAATCTCTCCTTGTTCAGGTTCCATCCATTATTCCTTGTCTGGCCTACAGGGTGCTTTGGAAAATAGCTTGACCCCTTCCTCTTTGTGGCAGCCCTTCAAATATTGGAAGACTGCTATTATGTCTCCCCTGGTCCTTCTCTTTACTAAACTAGCCAAGCCCAGTTCCTGTAACCGTTCTTCATATGTTTTAATCTCCAGTCCCCTAATCATCCTGGTTGTTCTTCTCTATACTTTTTCTAGAGTCTCAACATCTTTTTTATAGTGTGGTGAACAAAACGATACAGTACTCTAGGTGTGGTCTTACTAAGGCTTCATAAAGTGGTATTAGTACCTCACTTGATCTCGATTGTATCCCTCTGTTAATGCAATTTAGGATTGCATTAGCTTTTTTGGCGGTGGCTGCTGCACACTGCTGGCTCATATTTAGCTGGTTTTCCACTAAGACTCCAAAATCCCTCTCACAGTTACTGCTATTGAGCCTGGTTTCACCCAGTCTATATGTGTACTTTTGGTGAACTAGCAAGTCAATGAAATTAAAGCATCAGAAATGGAAAAAGAAATACGAATATAAATCTAGTTACACCAATGCCTCTGAGGCTTCTTCCCATTCCCTTCTATACATGCAAATCATCCTTACCTCAACCATGACTACATATTGTTGCATTATTTTTAATTCTTTAAACTTCTCATCTCTCTTTTTTTGAGAATCTTGTCAGCTCTGCTCAATGATGAGTTTCTTTATCCCTCCTTTCTTCTCAATCTATGCACTCTCATTCTTCTTAAAGGAAAGGAAAGCTTACGTCTGAACTATTGTTCCTAACTCAATGATATTAAGTCTAAAGGAGCTGTCCTAAAGGTGAAGCAGTAAATCTTGGGCTTAAACCTGCAGACGGAGGGAAGCACAGCCATTATTATTGCAATGGCAGTCTTTATAATGGATCTTTTTCTTACCTAAATGGCATCTTTCTTGTCTTATGCACAACAAGTTTCAGTTAATGGGACCCAATGTTCTGGTGTCTACTTTCTTGGAAAGAAGATAGTCCGTATTCAGACTAGACAATTGAAACTGGTTTGCACATCTAGTTGAGTTGTCCTTTTGAGACTATTAGCTTAGGTTAGGCTGATGAGAAGTTTTGTTACATTTACCTTTTGTTATGTTTACAGAAAAATCTAGAAGTCTAAACTTAGACTAAAAGTCTAAGTTTTAGTCAGTTGTAACTGTCATAACATTGTGGATTTAACTTCAGGAGCACCTAGTGGTTGATCTACCTCTGTCCAAATAGCTGTAATTTATTCTACTAATTCTTTTGTCTTTTTTCTGCTTTTACTAATTGTGTTGTATTTTTAAGTCTCATCCTTGACTAAAATAAAATAAGATTGACTTATTGAGAAATTCATCAACTCCATTCAATCACAAGTTTCTTAATTTTCCCCTTCTTAATCTGTTTAGTCTTCCTTCACATGCTTGTTTTTCATTCAGGACGAATTTGATGCTTCTTTCTTAGGCATTTTAAGAAAAACTAACTGGCATTTGTGTCATGGCACTCCATAAAGATGTAACTGATGCATTCTGAGGCACACATAGAACACTAGAAGTCTTCAGGTTTCCACCTGCTATTGGACAAAAACCTATTGTTATCCCAGCAATTCATTTCAGTTTAGTTGGAGTTAATAATTGTCAAGAAATAGCATCCAAATTGGTGTGTGACTGATGGATATAAATATCATGAAAGACTCCTTAAAACTATTAATATTTAGATTCTATGAGAATTTGACTTTGAAAGGTTCTATATAACGTAGAACCTGTGAGATAAGTGGTATCATTTTGTAGTTCCTACCATCCTACATTGTTTTCATATAAAAAGGTGCAATTAGGTCATAACAAACTTTATTACAGGTTGGTATTATTTACTTTATCTAATAATTAGTTTCTACTTGTAACTTTGCCATCCATTTCAGTTGCAAGCAAAACATCATATAATTATATACCTCCCAGAATGAAAATTGTGTAATCAAAGGCTGGCTTGATTTCAACTGCTTTTGAATCTATATTTTAAAAAGTGTTATTTGGATAATTAAACAAATCTGGCCAAAAACATTACAGCAAAAAATTCTCATCATATTTTAGAAACATGTTGAATTTGTTGACTTGCTATGATTAAAACCATTTTGGTGGCCCATAACTGACAAATTGTATAATATGTTGATTTATCTCTATGATTTTTTGTTTCAAATCCTACTTGTGGGATTTAAATGAACCTCTATATAGTAAAAATGTGCCACAATAGACAGAAATTTAAGAAAACATATATGATAATATTATGTATATGTGTGAGAGATGTAGAGAGAGATGGATAGATGGATGCTTCTATGCCAGAAAAGTGCATGCTGCCTCTCTCTCTTTCTCTCTCTCTCTCTCTCTCCCATTCTCTCTCTCCCCCCCCCCCCTCTCACACACAAATGATACTTCAAGAATGGCAGTCCAGTATCTTATGGAAGCAAAGCATGCTATAAACACCTTCTTTTAAGCATGTATTGATACTTGGATTAAATAGAAATAAACAGAGAAAGTGACGCCTAAGCTAAACATCAGACTTCAGATAACTGCAGTTTTCCCCCCTTCTTTCTTTAGTGGAATGAATAAATGGACACTTCTTTCTGAGAAACATTATTGTGGACTGTTTAAGATTCATTGCATTTGGGAGGGGTTGGCACCATTTGAAGAAAGAATGCCACAATTTGACCTCACGACTTTCCAGAGGACCTCAGGGACTGTCTCAGTATGTTATTAGGTCACCAGATAATATGGGGATAAATTTTCAGCCCATTTTGGAGAAAAAAGGCGGGAAAGAGTCTTTAGAAAGTAAACTGCTCCCATGATTCCATCCCTACATCTCCAAATACCCCATCAAGGTTAAAATTGTGTCACCAAAGTCAAGCTGTTTTGCTTCAGAATTCTTGCTATACAATCAATGGGTGCTGGAGGTCTGCACAGCATTTGTGAGATACAAGTTGCCTCTGCCTGCAAAAAGGGAGAAGAAGATATGATCAGATTGTGGAATCTCTGGACTTTCAGATGTTGTTATAATTCCCAGGATAATAAAGATGGATTCAGAGATAGAACATGAAAGGACGTCATGAGTTAGATCTGGAATGAACCTTGTAGAACACTAGGGAAATTGATTAGGGTGTCAACAGGTATAGCCAAGATGAGAGCCACAGCCACGCAATTGAAGTTCAAATCATTTAGTATGTACAAATATTATATATTTGATACTCTTTTATTTAAAAAAAGGGCAGGGCTTTGAACATGTGGACATGGCTGCATCTCTTCCCTGGTAGATATCCCTGGAAGTTAAAGAGTTCCAAATATATGCAACCATTATAAAAAAATTAATTTTAACATGTTAAAAACCTCTTTCATCAGGTCACTCATATTATATTAATTAGAGATAAGGAAAGAGGCCATTGATGATGTATGTATAACCTTAATGTTATATGTAAATCCCAAATATATGCAAGCCCTAAATTCAAAAGCAAGGGTAAATTACTATTTTTCTCTGTTTGTGCTGATAGCGAGCTATATTTTCATTGTGCAAAGAACAAATGCAAGTTTAAATGGCCCTGTGAAAGCTGAAGCCAAGAAATATTAACTCCTGTTAATAGATTTCATCAAGTATAAGATTACTAGAAAATTGTTTGGAACTCTTGAGTTCTTAAGAAATATCTATGCATTTTTCTCTTCAGCCCTGACAAAAATGTATAAAGTGTGTCACAGATGTTAAAGGTATTTTTAAATTTTTGGTTGGTTACCCAGCTTGAGGTTGATCCTACTCAAACCTTAATGTAACAGTAGCATATTTGCATCAGCTGTGTCAGGCCCTGCCAGGCAAAATGTAGTTCCAAAGCCAACTTACAATTGTTAACTTCATTGTTTTTGATTAATTATGTACCCTCTAATTCAAGGGTATTCAAACTTGACAAATTTAAGACTCGTGGACTTCAACTCCCAGAATTCCTGAGCTAACACGACTGGAGGAGGAATTCTGGGAGTTGAAGTCCACAAGTCTTAAAGCTGTCAAGTTTGAAGACCCCTGCTCTAATTGGTGTTGACCATTAGCAACCATGTCATAGACAGATTAGCTTCAGGAAGACCTGTTCCCAAATGGGTCGTCAAATCTTCCAACTGTCCCCAACCAACAGCTGTATAATTCAGCCCATCCGCTTGTTAGGTTGACTTCTTCTCTTTCCTCCAATCCTTCCCAGCATTATTTATTTATTATTTATTCAATTTCTATATCTGCCCATCTCAGTTAATTGGACTGGGTGGCTTACAGTTCTATAGACCAGGGGTCTCCAACCTCCAGCCCATGCCAGGACTAGTCCGTGGTGTGCCAGAAACCGGGCCACACAAACAAGTGAAGAAGCCCTATCCATGGAATTCAGTCAGCACACAAAACCACGCCCCCCCTTCAATCCGTGGAAAAACCTCTCTCCATGGAACCAATCCCTGGTGCCCAAAAGTTTGCAGGCCGCTGCTATAGACTTCTTCAGAGAGCTGTTTTTTCATATAACACATCCTACTACCATTAGCAAACAGGGTTATCTCCTAACCCAGTTTTATCTTTCACCAGAAGATGTCTCTGTTGCTTCATTTATAGCCTTGCCAGAAGGATTAATAGCAAGCTTTCCCGTGAATTATAAAATGATTTAATACATAGAAGCTTGGATAAGTAACCAATTATTCTGCTCCTCTACTTTTATAATGTCAGCAACAAAAAATTACTTTTCTGTCAGAAGAAGGAAAACCAGTGTTAACAGTAATTGTGCTGTCATTGAAATGAGGTTGTGAGGTGCACAATGTGTATGAGATTATAATAGTTTTAACATCCTGCCATTCTTTTCTAAACATCCTGTTAATCACATAATAAAAATGATACATTTGAGGTTGCCGAAACTTGATTTACCTCATGTCATGAGTTGCTTTCAAATTTCACCAAATTTGTTGATCTATTTAAATCTGCCCAAAATATGACACTTTAAAAATCAGCATATAGGCAGCATTGGAAGGCAAGCCATAAATTTTCTTTCCCTTTCAGATATTTGTTTATTATTTAAACCTTCAAGATTATTCCCAGGCACATGCTTTGTTAACAAGCATTTTAAAAAAAGAAAATTGGCAGTAGCTAAGCACAAGCTCCATCAGTGGAACAGCTGACAACATCCATTATGCTCCAGCCAAGATTGAAATAGCAAGAGAATGAAAACCTCTCTTTTACCTCCCATTTGTCTCCCAGCCTTTCTCCAAGAATTGCAAGGTGGATCAAATGGATTTGTCCAAACTCATTTTCACATTTGCCTTGAAAAGGAGGATAGGTGGATATTTTTAAGGCAATGCAGTTCCCTTTTTGACTGGGCAGAAGTGTAAATCAGTATCTAATTTTCAGCTCTTAGTTTGCTTGCAAGTACAATGCTTAGACTTGAATCTTGCATTAGTCTCATCTTTTGTTCATTTTATTAAATAAATTGGGGGGGCGGACAGTGAAATTAATTGAATTAACAACTTGGTAGATGAGCCCTCACTGGGGAAAAAAATCATGATAATCTACATATAATTCTGAAAAGTATGTTCAATGAGTTCTCTAGAACTTCTAATACAGTATCATTATAAAGCATAGAAAATGGAGTAATCACACAAGGAGGCCTGCTGTCATAGCCTCTATATGCAAATGGAAATATTCTATTATATCTGTAACTATTTTGATACTGTTGCCAAATGAAAAAACAGCATATGAGCAAATTAATAAAAAAGATTTTAATATTTTTACTGGAGAGGATCTAGAATTATTTAGATTTATCTTTGAGTAAACTTATGACTCTGCAAGGTCGAGGAATACCTGTATTCATTTTTTAATCTTCTTAGTTACCTGCTTATGTTTAAATGCAGTATTTATTTATTTATTTATTATAAATCTGTTAAATTTATTTATCAACCACCTATCTTGCCATAGGGCTTGCATTTCTGACTGATTTTTTTTTCTCATTCAAAGTTTTTAAATGTAAAGAAAGGTTTTTACATTAATCCAAATCAATCCAGGTTATTTATTTTTTAAAAAAATACAGTATTTTTCAAACAGAGAAATGACCAAATGCCTCCTTGCTTGGGAGAAGGGGCATATTTCAGCCCTGGCATCTTCTTTTTAGATGATCATTGAGTTTTGAGTCTGCTTGGAGCAACATAATCAGATAATCAGATAATCGGAGTTGGAAGGGACCTTGTAAGTCATCTAGTCCAACTCCCCGCCCAAGCGGGAGACCCTACACCATTTTTGACAAATGGCAGTCCAATTTCTTCTTGAAAGTCTCAAGGGATGATGCTCCCACAACTTCTGAGGGCAAGTTGTTCCATTGGTTGATTGTTCTCACTGTCAGAAAGTTTCTCCTTATTTCCAAGTGAAATCTCTCCTTGTTCAGGTTCCATCCATTATTCCTTGTCTGGCCTACAGGTGCTTTATAAAATGCTTCCAAATATTGGAAGACTGCTATCATGTCTCCCCTGGTCCTTCTCTTCACTAGAACTGGGCAATGCCCGGTTCCTGTAACCATTCTTCATATGTTTTAGTTTCCAGTCCCCTAATCATCCTGGTTGCTCTTCTCTGTACTTTTTATAGAGTCTCAACATCTTTTTTATAGTGTGGTGAACAAAACTGGATGCAGTACTCTAGGTGTGGTCTTACTAAGGCTTTATAGAGTGGTATTAGTACTTCCCTTGATCTTGACTGTATCCCTCTGTTAATACAACTTAGGATTGCATTAGCTTTTTTGGCTGCTGCTGCACACTGCTGGCTCATATTTAGCTGGTTGTCCACTAAGACTCCAAGATCCCTCTCACAGTTCCTGCTATTGGGCCTGGTTTCACCCAGTCTATATGTGTACTTTTGGTTTTTCTTGCCTAAGTGTAGGACCTTACTTTTCTCTACATTGAATTTCATTTTGTTAGATACGCCCCCAGTGTTCTAATTTGTCAAGATCCATCTGGATCTTGAGCCTATCTCCTTGGGTGTTAGCTATTCCTGCCAGCTTAGTATCATCTGCAAATTTGGTAAGTCCCCTTCTATTCCCTCATCTAAGTCATTAATAAAGATATTGAAGAGTACTGGGCCTAAGACGGAACCTTGTGGCACCCCACTGCTTACTTCCCTCCATGTAGACTTAGACCCATTAAGGATTACTCGTTGAGTAGGGTTTGCCAGCCAGTTGCGAGTCCATCTAGTGGTGGTGCTATCTATTCCATTTTTTTCTAGCTTACCAAGAAGTACCGTAGGTTGTGGTCTACTTTGTCAAATGCTTTGCTGAAATCTAAATATATTATGTCCACAGTATTTCTCTGGTCTACTAATTTACTCACTGTGTTGAAGAATGAAATAAGATTGGTTTGGCATGATCTGTTTTTAACAAACCCGTGCTGACTGCTAGTTATTACTTTACTTGTTTCTAGATGTTGGCAGATCTGTTTTTTATAATTATCTTTTCCAGTATCTTCCCAGGTATTGATGTTAGGCTGATTGGTCTATAATTTCCTGGGTCTGTTTCCCCCCACCTTTTTTTGAAGATGGGAACCACATCAGCTCTTTTCCAGTCCTCTGATAGTTCCCCGGTGTTCCAGGATTTTTGAAAGATAAGGTGCAGTGGTTCTGAGATGATCTCTGCCAGCTCCTTTAAAACTCTTGGATGTAATCCATCAGGCCCCGGTGATTTGTGTTCAAGATCAGACAAGTGTTCTCTTACTATTTTTTTGCTTATTTTAACTTTTATTTCTGGTCTGTCTTTTATAGTTATGTTTTTGATGGGTTGAGCTATAGTTTCTTTTGCGTGAAGACGGATGCAAAGCAGTGGTGGAATTCAAATTTTTTTACTACCGGTTCTGGGGGCGTGGCTTATTTGGTGGGCATGGCTTGTGGTCATGTGACTGGGTGGGTGTGGCTTAGTGGTCATGTGACGGTGGGTGTGCTTGGTGGTCATGTGACTGGGTGGGTGTGGCTTGGTGGTCATGTGACTGGGTGGGCGTGGCCAACTCAATGTCACTCACATCAAGGGGTGCCTCACCTGGCCCCTCCCCTCCCAGCCATTCCTTGTCACCCAACCTCAACTTATCTATAGTTTTGTAAAAATGTTGTTAACCTTTTTTTACTTCATTATCTGCATACTATAGATGTACTTTCATGGACCGCTGAAAGGATGAAATGGCTCACATGCTTTACTCAAGAGTGTGATAGGCAACAGGCTTTTAAGGGGCTGCCACAAAGAAAGGGGGACAATGTATTTTCCAAAGAAGCAGAATGCAAACAAGAAGCAATGGATAGAAACTGAACAGAGAGAAGCAACCTAAAACTAAGGAGAAACTTCCAGACAGTGAGAACAATTAACCAGTGGAACTGCCTGTCTCCAGAAGTTCTGGGTGCTCAATCACTGGAAGTTTTAAAGAAAAGACTGGACAACCATTTCTCTGAAATGGTATAGGGTTCACCTCAAGGTCCCTTCTAAATGATATTCTGTTATTCTGATACCTTTCCCAGGATCTCTACTCAGAGTTTGGTATCCTCAGTTTTCTTGCCTGAGCTGGGGGTTGGACTAGAAGACCTCCAAGATCCCTTTCAACTCTTGTTAAACACATGTGTATTTTATGCTCTGGACTATTGACATTGAATGCATATAAACCCTGAAAAATACCTGGTAGCCCTGGTAGGCAGAAAAATCACTCTAGGTGTAGGGACAGTGTAAAATATTAATACATGATAAATAATGGAACAATTAAAAATAATAGCACAGAGTTTTATCTCTCTCTCTCTTCCTATTTTTTCTTTCTTTCTTTCTCTACCTTCTTTATTTCTCTCTCTCTCTCTCTCTCTCTCTCTCTCTCTCTCTCTCTCTCTCTCACACACACACACACACACACACACACACAGCACTTAACAGACAAGCATTTTGGAAGCAGCTCCTTTAAATTTCTCCAAGGCTTGAGTGGATTCCCCCACCCCCTCTGTCAGACCGCACTCTTTCTCACTCCAGACACTTTAGGGGAAAGTGATACTTGCAGCATCCATGCCTTTCTTCCTTTTCCCCGAGGAGAAAGAGGACGTGGGGAACGGAACGCTAGGAGAGCGATCGCAAGTGAGTGACCGGGTGACTGCGTTGGGGGCGTAGCCAGCCAGGGATTGCCACCGGTTTGGCGACCCATGCCAAATAACTGCTACCGGTTCACCCAAATAGGTGCGAACCGGTTGAATAGCACCTCTGATGCAAAGAATGAGTTAAGCAGTTCTGCTTTCTCTCTGTTGCCTGTTACTTCCTTGCTGTCTTCTCTCTTTAGTGGACTGACTGTTTCCTTGATTTTTTCTTGTTACTTATGTGTTGGAAGAAACTTTTTTATTATTATTTTTGACTTTTGTTGCAAGTCTTTGTTCATTATGAGACTTTACTTTCCTGACTTCGTCTTTGCAGATTCTGGCTATCTGCTTTTCAACTTCACTTTTCGGGGCAAGTAATGAGTGATTCAACCTAGTGGAAATGAACAAAAACACATGCTTCCACGGTACACATCTAGAGTACAGGTTCTCAAAATCAACCTTCATAGCTTCTACTTTGGCTTGCTGCTTTATTAAAAATGCAGCACTTTTTGACATTTCTCCATTTTCATATTGCCTTTGTTTTTTGGGAATCCACGGATTTGCTCACCACACAGCAATTTAGCCCCCTCAATAAAGTGGAGAAACCAAAATGAAACATTGTAAATTTGTTTTGCGCTTTTAAGAATATTCTTTTTCTACTTAACATGCAAATAATTACAGCACATATTTTCGATTGCAAACATTTAACAGTCTATTCCGCAGTTCTGCACTGGACCAGATCAGAGAGTGTTTTTTTTTTAATATAAAAGTTTTTGTGCAGTGCCATAGTATTTAGGGTAAGAAACACATGTAATTCTACTCAAATACATCATGATTTTGATTGTATTGCTTTAGATGTTCTGTTGCTCTAAATAGCCACCTAAATAGCCCAGCAACCATGAAACAAATTTGTTTTGAGCAGTTTGAAATTAACTATTCCAATATGATTGGCAAACCATTGTAATCAGCTTTTATAATTAAGCTTTCTCTGGGCACTAGACCTGTAGCTGGTACATATTCTGTTGTATGTTAAACTTGAGAACAAGCTACCACATGGCTGGAACTTGCTGTTTTTTTGAAGAAGTGTATTATCTCATGTTTATGTATTGCACTGTTCAGTATATACAGATTCAGAAATCAGTAAATTATTTGGAAGTTGCTTTCTTGACAAAAAATAAAATAAAGTGGATAAACCATCAGCCTGGCTCTGGTTTTTGAGTTTATTCAATGTTCATTCTTCAGCAACCACTTTGTATCCATTCTTCCTTTCCAAATCAGTCCTTATATTCTAAAAAGATGGATCATTCTGTTGGGGTAGGGATACGTGGAATAATCAGCACAGCAGATGACATATATCACAGCATGCAGAAGGGGGAAAAAACAGTGTGGCTTCAATTGCATAGTCACAGACACTATCTTGATTTTTAGATCCACCTCTTCACAGATGTCCTCCCTGCTTTGCCCTGTCTTCTCCCAACATAGTCCCATAGATGCATGAACTGACATTTTGCAGCAAGCCCAATACAGATAGTCATCGATTTACAACAGTTCGTTTAGTAATAGTTTGAAGCAGTGGTGGGATTCAATTTTTTTTACTACCGGTTCTGTGGGCGTGGCTTGGTGAGCGTGGCTTGGTGAGCGTGGCAGGGGAAAGATACCGTAAAATCCCCATTCCCTCCGCAACCCATTAACCTGCTTTCCAGCTCCATTCTCCTGTGCAGGGCAACAAAAGAAGACCCAGCCGATCAGTTGGGACTCAGGAGGCAGAGAATAGGGGGGCGGGGCGGGTCAGAGGTGGTATTTGCTGGTTCTCCAAACTACTCAACAATTCTGCTACCGGTTCTCCAGAACTGGTCAGAACCTGCTGAATAGCACCTCTGGTTTGAAGTTACAGCAGCACTGAAAAAGTGGCTTATGACCATTTTTCATCTTACAACCATTGCAGCATTCTCCATGGCCACGCGTTCAAAATTCACACGCTTGGCAACTGACTCATATTTATGACAGTGTCCTGGGGTCATAAGATCACCTTTTGAGAACTTCTGACAAGCAAAATCAATGGGGAAGCCAGTAACAGCCATGTTACTTAACAACTGTAATGATTCACTTAACAATGGTGGCAAGAAAGGTTGTAAAATGGGACAAAATTCACTTAACAAATGTCTCACTTAGCAACAGAAATTTTGGGCTCAATGGTGGTTGTAAGTTGAAGAATACCTGTAATGGGCAAATATATTTGGTGGCATAGACTGTAGCCACCAGGTCCTTTTTCCAACCAGTATAATCATGTCCTTCCTATTAAGCTGTGAGAGGTGGGTAGTGAATGTTAGCGATGGTCTGACACACTTTCCTTTGTCACTGATCTCACACCCGCTGTCCCAGGATAGACACAACTGACACACCAGATCCATCCAGCCTCGTCCAAACTGCCACAAATTTTTGGGAAATCCAAAGAAAGAAGATTAAAAAGTATTGCCATAAATCTTGCTGGGAACCCATGTGGATTTTCTGCCCTCAACAAATCAGGGCTAGCAGGGAGAAAATCCAGTTAGTATAAAAATAAATATTGCCATGGTCAAGCCATCAAGGCCCAAAGTACTGTGAGAGAATCAGTCTCTGGATGAACACCCCCAACACAGGGAATCTTCCGTTATTTAGGTAATTGTCCCCACCTGACAATTGTGGATACTTGTGACTTACTTATTCATACAACATTAAAGAACAATTTGATGCTGCAGTTGAGGATGGCTGTTTGAGGTCTGTGGTCATGGAATAAGCATGAATGTTGATGAAAACCTTTCCCGTCTTTCCCTGTCCCAACTCCCAAGGGCCCCATGCATCCAAGAAGGAATATTAACCAGTTTGTTGCTAGTCTTGTTTTTCCCTTTTTTTCTTCTGCTTCATCCAGAAAGGAAAACAGCACAGCCAGCTGCTTTGAGGCCTGCAAAAGTGAAATATCACTGAATTACACCCTGTGACTAATTTTGAGCCACGGGGCTCTACAGAAATTTCCTTACATGGTTACCATTTTTTAATGTGTATATTACATAAAAGTCCAACCGCCTGAGCAAAAAGGTCAAAGGAAATCAAATAAATTAGGACTGCCATGATTATTATGACATCATTCCAATATTGCCCAATATTCCCCTCTGATGTCCATCCACTTTCTCCTCCCCTTTTATGCAATTTATCTACCCACTCAATGCTAACAGATTCTAACTAATAATAAAAGTAACAACAATACACTTTCCACCATAGCGGTAGAAAAGACAACATAGTGAAGAAGGATTTCATTTTAAAAGATTAATAGTTTCTCTCTTTTTTTTTGTGCTAATGTTCCTATGGAATGAGTTGGGCAGCCTTAGAAATGTGCTAAGAAAATAAATCAAGAAGAAAGTAAGACTGAGGACTCCTGAGCTCTTCTACTTGTACCCATGAAATATCTTCCAGGAGTTCTCATACCAGAAAATCAGATAAGGCCAATATTCAGGTTTCAGGAAAGTAAGCCTACCATATCTGCATTGGAAAATTTTGGAAATCATTAGATGGGAGCAAAGAGTGATCGTTTGGAGTTCTGAAGTCATCTTCTAGTGACTCCTCAGGAAAGAGAAGTTCGTTTATGTGCTTAGATCTTCCCCTTTGAGATGCTACAGTCGGTCTGACTGTAATTGCATCGGGCCTGCATCTGTTTCTGCACAGCAATTAACTTTTGTGGTGGCCTTTCCTAGAATGTTTTTCATACAGAGAAAAAATAGAGAGAGGCATACACAGTTTTGGGAGGTTCTTCTTCCTTTTCATGTTGCTTGTCCTCTGCCAAAATATCTTCTGTTTTCTAAGTTAGAGAAATGAGAACAAATAGTCATTTCTTTGTTAAACACTTCAGGCTATTCATCTATGACAGTCAAGTTTTTTTTCTGGGAACTTTCCTGTTCAAAATATTTGCTTCAGGTCATACACAGTGCATAACATGTGACTTCAGTAAAAAAAATATTCCTGTTTAAAAATATAAAACATGCTTCATTGCATTGCTAGTTCGGTGCAAACAGGGTACTTAAGATAGGTCTTGGTACAGGTTGTGGAAAAGGGCTTTCAGTTCTGCCTGACAAGGTTGTAATATTTATATGTGCAGAGTCGCATCATTGATAACATTAAAGCCAAAGGGAATGAAATTTGATTTTTAGCTTTAAGATTCATTTTATCAGAAAAAGCCATTGGAGCATTTTCTTTCTTATGATAGCTGTTATATTGTTAATGTGTATAAAGGTATCGGAAGCTGGGCAATTGTGGTTAAAGAAGGCCAAGATGATGGATACAACCATACAATTTAGCTTTTTTTTTTACAGGTGCAACATACCTTTAGTCATGGGACTCTGGCTACCATCTTGACTTTTTTTTATTATTTTCCTCCCCTGGATACCCCGAAGCTCTTCAAAAGAAAAGGGAACTCCACTATCTTATTAAACAGATTTGATCAGTAAGTAATGGAGCTACAGGCATTTTTCACTTAATGGTCATACTGGGACAGGCAATTCTGTTACTAAGTGCTGTGGATTCATTATCATGCAAGCGTGACAGATTTACAACCTCACTTTTGCTACAGTTGTTAAGGCAATATCCAAAACACTCTCAAACTGGAAGGAAAACCTCCCCGTGGTGCAGATTCTGTTATATATCTTCCACAGGATAAATGTGATGAAAAAGTACTCCCCTTTTAATTTTTATGTGAGGAGAAAAAGCAAATGTTCTTCCTAAAAAGTAGCTCTTCTAATTATTCTTCAATCAAAAAGAAAAAAAATGCACTACAGAACACAAGTGGTTTAATGTATTACTATTTAAAAATGCCACTGGAGCTGTGATTTAATAAACTTCCTATGATCTATATGGCTAATTTGGTCTAAAAATGGAGAGTCTCACATTGCCTGTTGCAAAACGCAAGGAAATATATAACTTTAGCATAACAGTTTATAATGGCTATTTTATAAAGGATTTTAAAAACCCTCCAACTTTGTTTATTGGGCATTAATGTTTTTCTGATTGTTAGCTACTTATTGCAATGTTAGATTGGGGATAAATATTTAAAAATGTGAATTCTAATTCTAATTCTGAAATTCTAATTCTATTAAAAATACATTAATAGTTCCAGCCCCACTTCCTTTTGGATTGGGTTTCTAGCAGAGAGATCTATGAGGTGAAAGGTGATTTCAAACCCCCATCTTGACTCTTGGCTTCAATACAACAATGAGATGCTGGAAGGTGTGTATCACTTTTTAAAATAAATATCCTATTGCTTTAATAAATTTAACATATTTGGTAGAAGAACTAGAATATGTCTTTCCATGTCTTTGTGACAAGATCATATGTATAACAAGTAAAAATATGTTTCTACGACTTACTTCTTCAATTCTATCTCTCAGGTCAATTTCCACAAATGATGTCAAGTCTCTCTGTAATAGCTAAGATAAAAGAAAATGCAATATAGTTGAAAAGAATCTATGGGAATAATTACATCTTACATATATAGAAGAGTCTAATGAAAAGGTAAGAGATATTTTTCATAAGGAAAAGCAGTTGTTTTGTTTATAACTTCATGGTTTCAGTGTAAAGCAAAGCAATATCAAAGAATTATGTAAACCTCAGGTATCCGTATAGTTTTTATTGACCATGTTAAAGTTAAGAGAAAAAGCACTTTTTAAACCTATTGCCATATGATTGTGCAATTAGGCTGTTTGATTTTGGGGGAAATTAGAAAAAGATATAGGCTAATCTATTTCAAGATATCTTTCCAATAAATCATCATAATCTCTGTCATTGATGATCTGGGCAAACTAAAAAGAATGTGATTATTCCATGGTGTATCTCAGCTCTGCAAATTGAGAGAAAGCTGGCTTAATAATTACTTCCAGTGTATCTTGCAAATGACATGATAAAATGAAGAAGTTATTACTGCAGACTGTGGAAGTAGTAATGATTACTAAGAATGTAGGAACAAATAAAAGCAGCATGGGTGCAAACTTAATACCCTTGATGAGAATAAGATGTTTCTACAGCACTGGAACTGAACATCATAGGATAGAAGGCCCCATTTGAGCTTCTTACACCAGAGAACAATTCCTATCCCCAAATTTTTTAAGGAAAAAAAACCTTTCATCATCAGATGTGTTTTATGTGATTTACTGTAGTCAATATCAAT